CCACGACGCCTAGAGACCCTTCGACCGTGTCCTCCTCCATCCGGCCCACCTTGGGCACCGCGGCATGGGCCGCCGGTGGCGTGGATTGCGCCACCCCCTCGAATGCCACCATGGCAGCATCCGACCCCATTGGGCTTGTCGCGGTCGTGGCCACCTCCGTCTAGGCCTCCGGTGGCACGGACTGCACTGCTCCCTCGGACGCCACCGCGGCTGCAACCGACTCCGCCCAGCCCGCATCAGGCGCCGTCACTTGGGCCGCCGGAGGCATGGATTGCGCCACCCCCTCGGACACCACCATGGCTATGTCCGGCTGCTCCTGGCTTGGCGCGGTCACGGCCGCCTGCTCGGCAACCACCGAGGGCACAGGCTCCACTGCGGGCGCCACCGGACCGGCCAACGAGGCCGCAACATCAGCGCCGCTCCTGCCCGAAACAGGGGCGACGTCGGGCGGCGCCATCCGTCCCGCCTGAAGGGCAAGGCTCTTCTTGGGCGCCGGCCCTAGAGGGTGGCCCCGTCGTAAGAATCTGCAAAAGGGAAAAAGGCATAAGGTCAGAACAGAAAAATAAAAAGGGGAAAACGAGGGGAATCGGTGACATACTCTGGCGCTTTTGGGCAGTGGGTATGTTTTGGGGACGAACCTCCGGACCCCTGCTCCAACTCACGTGGGCGGGACCGTTTCGAGCCTACCCCCTACTCCGAGGTAGGGGGGCTCGTCTCCCTTGTCTCCAAGGGCGCGGCAACAGGGCCACTCCCCTCCATCGGCTCATGGGGCATGGCAACAGAGCCGCCCCCCTCCGTCGGCTCATGGGGAGTGGCGATAGAGCCGCCACCCTCCATCAGCTCATGGGGCGCGGCGACAGAGCCGCCCCCTCCATCAGCTCACGGGGCGCGGCGTCGGAGCCGCCCCCCTCCATCAGCACCTTGGGGGCGGCTGCGGATCCGTCCCCTCCCATCCATCGATCCCCCACCGGCACCCCAAGGGTGACGGCGGATCCACCGGCTCCCACCGGACCCAGGGGCAGGCCCGGCTCCACCATCCTCGCGGACTCGCTTCCCTCCGCGTGGAACGAGAAGGGTCCCTGCATGGACAGCGAGTCCTCATCCTCTAGGTCACCCCAATCCACGCCGGCTACTGCCTCATTAGACTCGTCGTCATCATCATCATCTTCACTACCTATCTCCTCTCCTCGATCTCGAGCTTGCTGCTTCAGTATCGCCTTTTTCTTCTCAAGCTCCCTCATCTTCTTGTCCCAACCAGCCACGGCGTGGTTCGCTGTCGTCTGAGCCAGGTCCTTTGGCATCGAAGCTGGGCTGTCCTTGAAGAATAGTCCCCCCCGGCTGGTCCCACTATCCTGAGGTTAGCATCAGGGGGTCAGAAATTCAAGTGAAAAGAGAAGCAAGGGGAAAGAAAACTTACGAAGTCAACAAACCCCGGTTCTGGCCGCATTGGGGGATGCCCCGGCACCAGATACACGAAGTCCAGGACGGCGCCAATGGAGTCCTTCGTAAGCTCCATCGCCTCCTTGATGCGCTGCACCACTTCGGAGGGAGGGAGCGCTTTGTCGGCAAGCGTCGTCCCTTCGAACGACGCTCTAGGCACCATCTGATATAGGGGAAGCGCGCGCGCCATCAGCGGCGCAACCCTCCTCGCGTGGTAAGCGGCGATAATCCCCGATCCCTTCACGCCCCTGTCCTTCAGAGTTCGGAGGGCGAGGAGAAGGCCGTTGAGGTGCTTCTTTCCCTTGGCTGTGACACCCCACCTCCACGGCTCCAGGGTCTCCACGATGTAGCGCCCGGTGAAAACTGGCAAGGGGGCGGCGGCGTCATTCTTGACGTAGAACCATTGCGAATGCCACCCCTTCTTGGAGGTGGACAGACGCATTAGCAGGTACGCTTCTGCCCGGTTGTTGCGGACGTGGATGTCGACGCACCCCACCGGTGCACACAGCTCTTGCTTCCCGCCCTGCCTCTTCAGAAGATTGATGGCGAAGAGATACCGCCATAGGTCAAAGTGGGGACTGATCCCCAAGAACCCCTTGCACAGGGCGACGAACGCTGCAATGTGCTAGATCCCATTGGGGGTAAGGTGTTGTAGCTCCACCTGATAGTAGTCCAGCAGTCCCTGAAGGAACGGATGGGTGGGCATGGCGAATCCCCGCTCGTGGAAGTGAGCGAAGGACACGATGTACCCTTCGGGCGGCTGTGGCTCGTCCTCTTCACCGGGCAGTCGCCACTCCTCAACGGCGGTCAACGGGCGAAGGAGGCCTCGATGGACGAGGCCCTCTAGGCGCTGAGGGGAGATGTTGAATCTATACCTTGGGTCCATTGAGATGGCGGGAGCAGCACGGAGAAGAAGGCAGCGGCAAGTTTAACGGTAGGAGCAGTACGGGTGCGAGAAGCTCACGCGATTGGCGGCGGAGGCTGAGAATGCGAGGGTAAGGAGGCAAAGTACGGAACCCTGGGGGCGAACTCCGTGGTTTTATAGGGGCGACGGATGTGAGGAGGGCAACCGCCCACCTCGATCTCCGAGCCCACCACGACACACCGCCGCGTCACGTCACGGGACACGCACACACGATCCCTATCCCTTCCCGCGAAAGTCGCGTCAGGCATTTTGCCTTCCCCAGGCGGACCAGGACTCCGTTCCCACTGAGGGAACACGGGTCACAAAGCCTTTCTCTCCGGCCCGCCTAGGGCCTCGGAGCCCAAGGGTTGTCCTGACGAAGGATGGGCCCACAAACGACCAGGACTCAAGGACGCAAGCATCACCGGGGCCTCGATCCATAGTCGAGCCCTAGCTAGGCCAGCCCTAAATGAAATCCCCACAAACGGGATACCACGATTCCCTTAAAAATATCCAGTTGATGAAAAACCAAATCTTACGGACTTACCCGCGGAGGGTCCGATACTACCTCCGGGCGATTCTACTCGAATCACCCGGAGGCTCGGGGGCTACACCCACCGGGTGCGCTCGCGCCCACCCTCTAGCGAATTAACTTCGACGAAATCAAAACACCCGTGGGCGATTCTACTCGAATCACCCGGGGGCTCGGGGGCTACACCCACCGAGTGCGCTCGCGCGCACCCTCTGGTGAATTAACTCCGATGAAATCGAAACACCCCCCGGGCGATTCTGTCCGAATCACCCGGGGGCTCGGGGGCTACTGTCGGGGATCTAATACCGGGGTAACCAAAGAGGTGGAACTAATAACTATCGAACGTTAAACACTCTCGGACGGACAAGAGCACTACTGCGCTTCTTGCCCGAACGACGGGAATTTGGTTCCGCCTCGGCCGACACCCGTGGGCCAGCTCCATCTCGCCCGACGGCTGAGGGCCGGCTCCGCCTTGCCCGACGCCCGTGGGCCAGCTCCGCCTCACCCGATGGCTGAGGGCTAGCTCCGCCTCGCCCGACGCCCGTGGGCCAGCCCCGCCTCACCCGATGTCCGGGGCCAGGCTTCGCCTCGCCCGACGGCTAAAAAACAAGACTCTGCCTCGCCCGACGCCCGAGGGCGGGCTCGACCTCACTCGACGACTAAGGGCTAGCTCCGCCTTGCCCTGCGACTGCACTCTGATCCTTCCTAAAGACGAAACACTGGGTACGATAGGACGTACTAGTCAACCACGATGTCGAGGGCCATGCCCTGTGCGACTGCAGGAAGGCACTGTCAGAACACGATGGGACATGCGCTTTAAAGCCCTTTCCATCATAACAGTGCCCGAATAGTGTTGAGTGCGCCGGCTTTTGTCCCATAGTGTAGTAGGCGCCGCCTTCAGGCCTCGGGCGTGGATACTAACACCGGCATACGACAACTGCTACGGTCCAAGACAAAACTCACATCATCTACAGTAACGGACGTATGGTCGCTTCCCGAATTACTTCCCGAGGGGTCACCGCTCGGCTCTCCGGCATGCCTCACCGTCCGCCGGCATGGGATGGGACACACCCACTTACTAAAAGGGGCCAGGGCATGGCCTACGAAGATCAACAAACACGCCACTTCTGACACGGTCTGCCATGTTAAGCAGGGCAGGCACGGGAAAAAAGGAAGACCCGGATCCTTCGAAGGACCTTCTATACCCTTGGTATTTTCCTCTTTCTCCCATCTGTAACCCCTGCTCCCCCGTTGATCTATAAAAGGGAGGGCAAGGCTCCCCACTGGAGGGACCGACTTTTGACGGACAACTCACACAAAGACCAGTTCGACACAGGCACAACACATCACGCAGCCAAGCAGCGATCAAGCTCTTGGCATCCTTTCGATATTTTCCATCAGAGACTTGGGACCGATCCATCTCTCGATCGTTTGTAGTCTTTACTACGAACCTTTTTCGGTGCTAATAACACGAGCAGCAGCAGACTGGACGTAGGGACATTCAGCCCGAACTAGTATAAACCTTGTGTCCTTTGGCGCATCATCCGGACCTAACGCGCATCAATTATAAATTTACTAGCCGGTGTTTGTTCGAAACACCGACAGTACCAAAGACCTAAAATCAGTATCCAACAGAGTATTTATACAATAGATCTATTTTGAGTTGTCTGAGAGACACAACCCAAATATGGACATCATCTCTCCTAAAAACCTATTTATAGATAGGACTCTTTTGTGTCATGTTGTCGGAGAAGATGCTGAATATGTATTGAACTTTTTGTCTGTAGTGCTTACAAATGACAAATATGTCTTATATTTTGAATGGTGACGACCATTTGGCTGCTGAAAAATTGCACTGTTCACGACTACTGTTTACGGATGATTTTCTATTCCTCCGCATTCCTCGTTAGGGCCGTTCGGCTGGTTATAAAAAAACATTGTAGCGGCTGAAATTTACTATTTACGGCTGAATTTGTGAGAGAAAAATACTGTTCCGGATGAAAAAAAAAAGGATTCATGTCAGCCAAACAGGGCCTTATTCCTCTTCCTCAAGAGTCGTTTTAGATAGCCTTACCCTCTCACGCCGCTTCCTCTTCCTCTCCCTCTACCGATCGAGGGAATCCAATGGCGCAAGCGGCGAGGTCACCGGCGTCGGCGTGGCACCCACCGAACCCTAGCCTAGCCGGCACCTCCCGGCCGGCGCCGGCCGCTCGCCTCCCCGACACGCCGCGGAGGGCCGCGCAGGTGATCGGCTAGCTCTTTCCCCACCCCGCGTGAGGGCACCGCTTTTCACCAAATCTTCCTGGCGACCGCGGTTGCTGTCTATTATGGGTTTTGTTGGGGTGGAGCGAAATGGGGGTTTTCTTGAGATGATTTTGGGGTTTCTGTGCTCCGGCCTCCGGGCGGGTTTTCTGGCGCCTGCTCGTGCGGGTTTAGTATCATGAGGAATTTTTTTAACAAAAAAGCAGAGCATCATGTTTGATGGGCGCATGCACTTACTGCCCCGGGCGGGTTTTGTGTCGCCTGCTCGTGCGGGTTTAGTATTATGAGGAATTTTTTATATAAAAATAAAAAAAAGTAGCAGAACAGTAAACGATAGTAAACGATAGTATTTTTCTCTGCCTTACATCTATGCCTCGTCGTAAACGATAGTAAATTTCCAGCCAGAACAATATTTTTTTCTCACACAGTACTTCTTCCCGAACCAGCAACAATATGAACCAGTCAACCGATGCTGCTTGTTATTGGTCATGGTCCCGGCCAATACTTTGCGCAGTATGCTGTGTACTAATAATAGCTACCAAGTGGGGTTTTGGTGCAAATGGCTCACCAAGTTTCTGTTGGGTCTTGATCTTTCCTATCTGTAGTTTCTGTGGATTGTTTTCGTTGCTGTGAAATTTACTGATGCGAGACAATTTGTTCCATTAGGTGGACAGCGTCTCTGGTGTGATTCTGTTCTCACGTTTATGTTATGATTTCGTATAATACTATTGTCTTGATGAGGCCTCCTGCAGAGCGCCTCTGTCTCACCCCCTCTGTCATATGATTTTTAGCATGTACTTAACTGATGAAATTAAATGTTGTGCTACTTTCACCTCGTAAAAATTAGATTTGACTCGCTTACACAAATGTTTGGTGTCAATATTTGTGTTTATCTTCTATCATGCTTTGGAACACATACACCCTATCCTGTATCTGAGATGGCCTTTCATTTGCTTCGCTCTACTACTCAGGACACACCACCTTGTGCAACATGTGGTGATGGTTCAGGAAATTTTACCCGTTGTCAGTGCAAGCAGTACACAAGGTATTCGTAGGTCCCTTTCTTTTCTTCTTACTGAATTTCGTGCTTGTATTCTGCACAAGCGATTTAATTATTTCATTGGTGCTTGTTTGGGGTTTGGTTGCCAAATTCCTCGAAGATATCCTGTTGATCAGTTGTGATTTGTGTTTATGCTTGTATATAAGTGCAAAGACGACTATTATATGGTTTTCTGAATGTCTGCCATTTTCTTTTGGTGCGAAAGTCTGAAAAGATTTGTGGATGTAGCTCCAAAACTCTGCATGTACTTGATTCCTTCTTATGTTGGAAGATAGAATATTGACATGTGAAATATTAGCTTCCGGCTTTGTGCACATCTTTCTTTTATGTAGGCTCTAGGCAGATCATTCAAATAATTCTGTGGCCTGAATTATGTTAAATTTTCATGCATTTCTTGTACATTGGCAGATCTTGAATTCTGTTATCTTAGTTATAGCTGTATCGATATGAGAACCGCGATTTCTTTTTTCTGTTTTGCTTCATTCCAGACAGGAAGAAATTCATCATACTAATGAGTAAACTTCCAGAGCCAAGGGAATTCTAAGACCAGACTCTTCTGATAAGCTGAAGACTCCTAGATATTCTGGTGGTACATATTCAAAACCCGATCCACGAGTGAAGCTGATTCCTGCAGAAGCCATCACTTATGTACAACATCGGAAACCATATGGTAGAACTGTTGGCTCAGCTGGGTCACAAAAAAGACAATGCAGACAAAGTTTAACACCACCGCCAAGTTCACGTAAAGTATCTCTTGTGGGATCGACGCCACTCACTCAAAAGCCTATGCCATCTGGTTCATCCAAGAACTCGTGTTTATTGTCTCCTAAAAGACTTGGGCGAACTGAAAATGGACACCCATCTGCTGGGAAGAAGCCTGCATCACCAGATCGCAAATCTTCACAACCTTCAAGTGCTAATTTGAATACTGATGCTACTCCTAGAAATATTGACAGCATGGACAGTACAAAGGCACTTGCCGGGAGTTATGATTCGAGTATTTTTCATTCTCAAGACCAGAGTAGTCGAAAACTGCTTGCTAGTTTACCAAAAGAGGCAGTGGTAAATCCTGTGTCTCCTAGCCCCAAGCAAGTGCATGTTCCACATCCAAGGATCCTCTCGGTACAAAGGCAGGACCTTCTTCTAAGAGTGTAGGCACACCTGATAGTGGAAGTATCAATTTAACTGCAAGTACTGCAGGTCCTGTCTTGCAAGCATCAATTGTGGAGCCTGCTTCGTTAAGCCCAACATCTGTGCTTAGTCAAAAGCTCATGGAGGTGTATCCGGATACAAGAGCTGCAGCTCCAATCAGGCAAGAACCAAGTGTGAAGCCTGTATTGCTGACCCCAATACCTGCTCACAGTGAAACTTCCACCGATGTATATTGTAATAGTAGATCAAGCCCTAATCCCAGCACAAATTTGTTGAACAAAAAAAGCAACCTGGCCACGCTGCAGCGCAAAGACATTTCTCCAATACATAGGCCACAGTCTGTGGCTTCTACAGAGCATACTGCTTTGTCAAAAGAAAGAAACATGGTGGACAAAAACATTTCTCCGACGCACAGCCTGCAGTACATGACTCATGCACAACTTACTTCACTGTCAGTAGAGATTTCAGCGTCCTCAACTAGTTGTGACAGATCTTCAGGTATACTAAAGATCCTAATTTGTTATTGAGCGTAACTCTTGTGAAGATATGCACTCTCACCTATAGTTTTCACTTGCACATTTGAATCTGCTATATTTTTTAGGTTCATTTCATCCTTTTTTTTGTAGAATACGCAGGAGAGCAAAAAAAAAAAAAAAACTCGACCTGCGGGGGGTTATGACGCCCCCCCGGGTTTTCTTACTAAGAAGAAGATCTTCTCACACAGATCGAGAAAACCCCCGAACCCCCGTCCACATCCTGACGCAGCGGTATCCTTGGCCAGTGAGAAGGCGTCTGCCGGACCTGGGCCGTGCGGCACTCAAGGCGCACACACACGGTACCACAGGCCGGACTAGACTCCGGGCCGGACCATTACTGCGCTTTGGCACATGTGACGGGTGATGGGATTTTTTTAACCTCAGCCTGAAATTCGCTCCCACGGGGAGTCGAACTCAGGACCTGAGGAGTGCCGCCGGGAAACCTAACCGTTTGAGCTAGGCGCCCTTTGGCTTAAGATGCATTATCAATCAGAGGCCCGTTGGATGTAAGGAATTGGCTTATTGTGCAATTCTTTCTTGCTTTGTGTATGCATATATGTATGGGGAGCCACAATTATTCTATGGATGGTTATACATGTTTGATCTGTCCCTTCACCTGAGAATAGGCAAATTTCGTTTCTCTACTGCACTGTTACTTGTTGCAGTCCCTGAGTATATATTGCAGCCAGCCAGTCATTCAGTAATAATATTTAACCCACAGACAATTTGATATTCCAATGGCATAAACTCTTATACTTTTTAATAAGAACATTATCACTGAGTGAGTGAGGGTAACACGTGACTGTATATTATAGTATTACTGAGCTGTTTGGGGCTGTCTCTTGATTTTACAGTGATTGTTTGGAGCTATCTCATGACTGTAACAGGTGGAGAAGCTAATTCCTAGAACATTAATTGTCTACATCATGCTTCCTTCGGTTCAAAATAGATGTTGTTTAGGCTTTTTTGCTATTTTCAAAATACATATGGCTATACAACTTCTATGTAACTTTAGTATACTTTCTCCTACTTTGCCCCTCCTTGATTTCATCATTAATTAACTACTTTTCCCATGTATCCCAAGCATGCATGAAAATTAATAGGCACACTTTAGGAAGGATTAAATGAGGGTATAAAGTTGGGCAGCCTTAGGCTACTACCGACAGGCCCTAACTCTAAAATGACATCTATTTTGAACAAGAGGGACATGTAATTATCTATGACCTGAACATTGAAGCAATGCGATTATGTTTTCTTCTTTAATATGGAAGTGTCAATCTTTTTGCTCTAATAGTGATATGTTATGAAATCTGTAATATTATGCTATTTTACTATCTGCATACTTTTCTTTCAGTCAAATACTAATATTAGGATTACATGTTTCATTTAGGGGCAAATTTCATGTGACTGGAGAGTTGACACATACTTGTGATGGACTTGAAGCCCATTGCCCAGCTGTGATGGACTGCAGAGCTTATGAAGCTTCAAAGCAAATGCCTGAAATTTTAAATTTAGAGGCTGTACCTCTTTCCCAGCTGTGGCCAAAAAAGTTCAAGATGAAACCCCCGGATGATCAGGATATTAGACTATGGTTTATAAGCAGTCACCAAAGGTATATATGCCCTAGTAAGTGTAGTTTCTACTTGCAAGGAACGCCAGGAACAGTTCTGGTTAAGTAACTTTCAAGTTGCATATATGCCAGTTACACTTGTGTCGGTGATTAAGTTTCTTAAGGCTTGTGATCACATCTATAATAAATGGTAAAACGTTTACTCTGGTCTTAAAAATCATGCAAGTATCTGTATTTAAAAAATCAAAACCTTTGGTATTTAGGAGTCTCTCTGGACCTGTGCACACGTCATGCATGTATCTTCTCTCTGATTAGCTTAACAATCATTTATTACAGGCCACATAGGAGTTTTAATCATCTTGTTGACAAACTTTCTTCACATATTGGCCTGTTGACCAGCATTGGTGATGCTGAATTGGCGATATTTTCATCCAAGTTGCTTGCACCAGACTATCAGAGTATCTATGCATGTTCGTTTTTGAAGAGAATGTCTGCATGTTCTTGCAAACCTCTGTTTCCATTACTCATCCTTTTACTGTTCTAACAAGAATGAGTGTTTTTGCAAATCTGTTATTGTCTTTTCCCAAGCTTCTTTCTTTCTTTTTTTGCTAATACTTGGTGGATTTGTTTCTATCACTTGACTTGCACAGTACATGGAGTTTGCATGGACCTGTTTAAAATATTAAAGAGTTTTTATTATATCTTTGGAAAACTAGTGTGCAGGTATAAATTTGTCATCTGACTTCTAAACAATTATTACCATAATAGGGAAGAACGATGAATTGTATTTTTGGGGCGGGAAACATCTGAGGAAGAAGTGGCGTAAACCCAACAATCATATACAAAATGTGAACAGAAATTCCAGTCCACCAAATGAAATTTCTTGTGACAGATCTGATGAGATAGGCATGAAATTGGATGCAATAAAAGGCAAGGAGAGAGAGATTGCCATGTCTGATATTGGTGTGACATTAGATGCACGAGAAGGTGAAGAAATAGACAATACAATGCATGTCGCAAAAGACAGTGCTATAGTGAGGGACAATTATGAGGGGATTGCAGAGGCATTGGATTTAACAGGAGGCAAGGAGACTGATAGGGACAATGACTGTGTGGCAGTGCTCCGAACTCCTGATTCAAACCCTGCATCCAGTTGCACAGCTCCTGGTGCTTCACTTCTTAACAGATGCTGCAGTCATGACTCTGCAAGCAAGAACAATTTTAGTTTATAAGGTTACACTATTCAACTGATTGCTCTAAGTCTTGTTTTGATCAATCCTCAGTTTCTTATTAAGCTTCTTACTTTCCATTTTTTTTTACAGATTCTGCATGTCAACCTGCTGACAGATCTTCGGCTAGCTCAGAGCTTATGCTGGACATTCCCCCTGGGTTTTCTCTAGATGTGTCTCCTGGCTTCACAAAAGCTCATCACCGTCAGCTTCAGATCAAAGATACTCCAGTGTCTTATGCCGATGCTTTTACCGGTCTAGTTTTGGACTGTCCTCCAGGATTTCAGATTGATATTCCTCCTGGCTTTACTGAAGTTCACCGCCAGCTCCCTGCAATTTCTTCTGCTGGGCCAGAAGCTGGTGTTTCTATCCATGGCATTGAAACGAAGCCTCTCATTAGGTTCTCTCTAAATGTTCCAAGGTTTGTTAAAATGGAAGTTCCTCCTGGATTTACTGTGCATGCGGTGAAAAAAGAGCCTTGGTTGCCTGTTGATAAGACCACAGAGAAGCAAACTCCATCTCGTTTGACATCTGGTGCATCTCCACTGGCAAAAGGTGCAACAGCCGATGAGATGAAAATCACGCGTGATGAGGTACAAAGTTGCCCCATCCCCGCCGCCCCCATTTGTTAACTAAAAATGTTGTGTTTTGAGCAGTAATTCAGCATCTCGGGTTGGCAACTGTCCACTTACATCATGTTAAGATTTACGAAAGGCAGGGCACATAGAACTTTATTGACCGTTTGAATGACTAAATTCCATCCATCGGTTTACAACATAGCTGATAGGATTTCTCGAAGGGCATGCGATGTACGATGTTGATGATGGTATATGAACCTTCTTGTACACGTGGGAAAGCCATGTTGTCTATTTGCATCCTAATCTGCACATCTGTGCATGCGAAATGCATGCATCTGCATGCTTTTTTCAGGCACTCGCACTTTTTATTTGGCATCGGAGGGGTACTTAAAAAGATTCGTCGTTTTGAATGTACAGGTAGAAATGGAACAAGATGAAATTTCAAAGGAGCGAGAATTTCCAAAGATCAGGCGGCTTTCAGACCTGTATCGCGGGCCTTCGGACGACAGCACTGAAGTTTGTGGACCAGTATGGGCACACTTGGCTGACAAGTTTCATGATACAGGCGCACATGAGAAGCAGACGCATCCAAGAAAGAGAGGCCGGCAAGGATCACCGGAGCGTTCTGCTGTAGACGGTGGCAGAGCGTGGGGACAGATCAAGTGGGGACCAATTCCAAACTAACGAAACTAAATGGCACAGATTTGTGCATGTTTGTGATCCATGACCATACTCAAACGGCTGTTGGCTGGTGCAACATAACGAGTGACAAGAAACAGAGTTGTATGAGCTCTAGCTAGCTACTACTATTCTGTGTTGTGTGCAGTGTGCATGACGTTGTCCTTGAAAAAGCCTGCCAAAAGATGGAAGAATGCAAAAGATTATTATGGTGTGGGTGAGAGAACAGGGAATGCATGTAGCCATGCAGAATTACAGGTGTCCTTGTTAATGCCGCATGCATATACCATGTTAATGCCATGCAGAATTACAGGAAAGCCCAGTTTGGCTGCAGATAGGGAAACGGTAACGAGAGATGATTCTTCACCACAGCATAACCGAAAAACCTGTTAAGATAAAATGGATTCTCCACGTCGTACTCCTTGAGCAGGTATGTATACCTGCATACCTGTTGAAGATTGACGAGGAGGAATATGGAGGCCATGGAGCTCTACTTCAGGAGGGGCTTTTCGCTTCTTTCACCCTTTTCCTGGTAACTATTCTATTCTCTTTTTTTTTTTTTGAGCCAGTAACTATTTTTATTTTATTTTTGCAAATTACACAAGTACAGACGTAGACGCTCAACATGCACGTACACTCAACCCTATGAATACACGTACACAAACCCTACCCCTATGAGCCAGTATCTATTCTACTTCAAAAGCAAAGGATCAATCTCGATTTAGTCATTGACATGTTGTTTCCCTTTTTGTTGCTTGCAGCTTTCGTGGACGCTAGTATACAGTTTGGCTCACTTTTGAGAAGCTCCTTTCGTGCACATACCATGCGACCTTTGTTCACCGTGTCAACTAGAAGAGACTCACCAGGACAGTGTAGATTGAGGAGCATTTTAGAACGAACGTTGTATCAAAAACGGTTCTGAGTTGTAATGTTATTTCCCAAACCCACTGTAATTTTGGTACTATGGCCTATGGGATTAGTTCAGTGCCAAGTAGAACACTGCGTATGGAATCCTCAATCAGAGGGCAAAAATGTTGATCACTGAGTTTGCAGTCAAACAACATTCACTTGCATCAAGCTGTGAATTCGATGTGCAACTTTTAACACATGAGTTGTTCTGGGTTTTGTTACAGGCGATTTTATGCAAAAGCAAACTGTAAGGCAGCTTTATTTTATCAGATGAATCATATCATCCTATATGTATCATTGTGCCTTTTCCATTGGAGTTATCGATACGAGAGCATTTTGCCTTTGCATATGTTCCAATCTGTTTGGTCAGAAGCATCATTCCATAAACCCAATGCCAGAGCTCTGTTCTAGTATGTCCTGGTGCATGATTATTACTGTCAGAAATATGGTTATTAAGAGCTGCTAAAAATAACCTTCCATGGAAAAGTTTGCACCAGATGATATGATATGAAGACGGAGGTAGTATGCCTGGCTACCAGATCTGCCAGCACCAAATGAACACGCTTTGGCTCTGCCAGGATAGAGCACTAGGTTTGAACAGCCTTGCCGCATGAGAAATATTACTGATTTGCAAATTTAATTAGACAATTCTGTCATTTTCAACCACATATATGTACATCCGCATTTGTTTCCCCGGTGCATAAATTGGGTGAGCGACGGGTGCACGGAAGCCCGCGTGCGCTCCCCTGCCCGATGCGCGCCACGTGGAGTCCGACCCAGATGCCGCAAAAGCGGAGCTCGGTATCGCAAGTCGTGTTGGGGCGGGGCAGTTCCACCCTCGCTTCTCTGGTTGTCGTACGGCACCATGGGCCCGTACGCGGGATTTGGTGCGCCCGTCGCTCACCCAATTCATTTCCCATATCCAGACGTTTTTAGACTCCATAACTTTACAAGAAAAGGAGTTTTTAAACTCCTTTTAACTTAAATGGACTTATTGTTAACTTAAATGGTCTTATTCTTCATTCTTTACAAGAAAAGGATGGAAAACATAAGATTTTTTTTATTGGTTCATCCATACCAACCTGGATTCGTTTGTTTCTATCACTCTCCATTTGACACCATTAGCTGTACCTGCATCTTGTACGTAGTGTCATCGACTATCCATCTGCCAGTCCATTATTACTTTATTACTCTAGTTTTCATCGTCAGAGAAGAAAAAAGGTTCATTTCTTGGTGGCTTATGCCTGCTAACGTAATATGGTGCGACTGCATCTACTTTATCAAATATATATTTGCTGCTGAGTACCTTATAGTTTGCTACAGATGGGACACCTGTGGGCAAAATGTTCAAACTTGGAGACGCATAAAAAAAGGATATGCATCGTCTCTGCTATCCAAGAAATGCAATCAACTGCCAAAAATTAAAATAGTGCAGACAAGAAAGTAGGATGATATCATTCTGAAGTATTGCATTGGGCCATGCATTATCTGATATTTCTCTTGTAGTTCTTCATACAAGTTTGCCATATGGGTGAACAAAAACTTCATGTGTATGGTATCATTCTCATTTGGGTGAACAATTATGACTTCATTTATATGGTCAACAAGTTTTGTAAAAGCAATAGTACGCCTATTGTTAGGATATAAATCCATCATATTATTCACGTTAACCTAGCTTCATGCTAGTTAGCTGGGCAGATAGATGATATTGTCAAAATTCTTCATGAGCATGGAAGTACGGAACCCTAACCAGCTGATCAAGTGGTCTTGCTCTTTGCTCCCAATTTTGGCCTGTTATCGATCTTCCATGGGCGGTGTTTCTTGAGAAGAAACTTAGAGAGGGTCAGAAGACAGTCTGGACCATTTTCTGTCTCCATCCTGAATGTCGACATCCCCATGGGCGGTGTTGCCTAAGAAGAAACTTAGAGCAATAATAACAAAAGGGCAAGTTGGGAGGCGATAATTTTGCATGCTTGGTTTACATTGATGCAAGTCTCACTGTTCAGTATAATAATAATAACATCACAGGGCACCTCAAGCCTTGTATGGTCAAGATATATATTTTTTTAATCTCTATATAAGGCTGCTTGCATTGCCTGGAGAGAAAGACATGCCCTGTTCTTCATGCCACACCCTGCTGAAGGACTTGGACATAGGTGACATTGCTATTAATAAAGGTATGTGAAGTACAGTTTCAATGCTTTCTCTTCATGTCCAAGCTAGATTAGGCATTATGCATGCATCCTGCAGCTCAGACAAGAGATAAAAAAAATTAGGAGCATCCATTTTGCTGCAAGAAATGTTGTAAATCAGTCTTTCATGTGTGCCACTGATGCCAACAAGAAGATTCTTAATAGGCTACGCTAACAGTTTCTTTCTTTTCTGACATCATGAACCCATCACAGTGTGCATGGGTCGCATATCCATTTGTTGACGCTTGTACCACTAATGTGACACCTAACCACCCCCACCTAGCTAAAAACATGCTTTGTTAGTGGCAGTAGAATCTAGCTGATGTAAATAACCTATTACATAAAATAAATATTTATTAACAAAACTTTGAATATTAGGTGCATGAATTATAATGGATTAATCCAGCATACGAGTAAGATAGACCTAATTTTTGTTATCTTTGCAGAAAATTCATTCTAATACAAACTAGTTTTCCTCCCAGAGACAAGCTGAACATTTTTGTTCTATTAAAGGGCTAATCCTCCCAGTGTGGTTAATAGTCGATGGTGATTGAGTCTCCCTTTGATGATCTGTACACCATTACAATGCCTGGACAACGGCAAGATGGCTCTTCTTCCTCTTCTCAGCAACAACTCACACTGTATGACCACAGACTATGTGATCACCAGTTCTTCTCCCAATCAACCAATGAAAACATGCAATTCTCCCGTGTAGTCACCATCCCTGGAATGTACAATGTCAGTAGCAACCTCGGACAGAACCATCAGATTGCTGCAGGGGTTAGTCCAGACTACCAAAGGATCAGATCAAGCAATGCTCTTCACCACATAAGCCAGATCCTGATGGAGGATGTCGATGAGAGGGTCGGCTCGCATGAAGGGGAGGCCGCCCTTCAGGCTGCTGAGAAGGCCTTCTATGATATTCTCGAGCAGGTATACCCACCTTCACTCGACTGGTCACCACTACATAACAGCAGCGAAGCAGGAGGACCTGATGAAGAAGGTAGTAGCAATTATCACAAAAGGCCTCGCAAAACCAGTTTCACTAGTGACATTTCCAGTCACATCATGTTGCAGCCCTTGCCAACCCCTTTGAGTCCATATAGCTACGGCAGGAGTCTTTTCCTGCCATATCAGCCCTTGGCAAGCACTGGGAGGGCCTCAAGATTTGGTTTCTCTGCCTTGCAAATTAGAAGAGAAGCCGAGGATGGAAAGGGGTTTGATAAGATGGTGATCTGTTTGGACAATGACAAGCTTTCGATCTGCAGACTGACCACTGCTAAGGCAAAAAAAGAAGTCGGGAAGAGCAAATATGCAATCTTTCAGATCACAGACCACAGGAACAATCCATATATCCAGGACTTGGATACCAGGGAAGGGAGAAGTAAAAACTATACCGTCACTTGCGAAATAAGCCGAAACGAAAAGTTCGACAGCATTCTGCTATGCCATGGTTTCACTGAAACAGCAAGGCTGAGAGACATGGCTGCAAAGGAAGAAAGTGAAAATTCACCAAAGGGTCAAAGCAAAGCACCTGCTCAACAGAAGTTGCGGGGTACTAGGCAGCTCAAGAAAGAGGTGGTCGACCTAAGGACCCTCCTCATCCACTGTGCACAAGCTGTGGCAGCTGACGACCGTTTGTTGGCTGGTGAGCTCATCAAGAAGATAAGGCAGCACTCCTCGAGAGATGGAGAGTGGTGCCAGAGACTGGCATTTTACTTCGTGAATGGCCTTGAGGCACGCCTGGCTGGGACGGGGAGTCAGTTGTTCCACAAGATGCGGGCGAAGCAAGTAAGCTACGAAGACATGTTGAAGGTCTACAACTTCTATCTTGCAGTCTGCCCTTTCCACAGGGCATCACAAACCTTCGCGAACCAAACTATCTCGGAAGCTTCAGTGGGGCAATCCAAGGTGCACATCGTCGATTTTGGTGTCTGTTCTGCTTTTCAATGGCCATCACTGATTCAGCGTTTCGGTGAGCAAGGAATGCCTCCAAGGCTTCGGATCACAAATATAATTGAAGTGCCTCGGCCAGGTTTCAACCCCTTGGAGAGCATTGAGTGGGCAGGGAAGCTGTTGGCTGACTATGCAAACATGTACAAGGTGCCCTTTCAGTATCAGGGCATTTACTCACGATATGAAGATATTCAGATCGAAGATCTCAACATTGAGGAGGATGAAATGCTTATAATCCACTGCATGTACCGGATGAAGAACCTCGGCGATGAGACAGTAGCCATGGATAGCGCAAGGGATAGGGTACTGAAGATCATGAGGAGGATGAACCCAAAGGTGTTTATTGTTGGCATTCTGAATGGATCATACAGTTCCCCCTTCTTCCTGATACGTTTCAAAGAGCTTCTGTTCCATTACTCCTCGATGTTTGACATGCTTGATACGAACGCTCAACGGGATAATGAAGAAAGAAAGGTGTTGGAGGGTGGAATGCTTGGGCGGGATATGTTAAACATCATAGCATGTGAGGGTGCTGACAGGATTGAGAGGCCAGAAACTTACCAGCAGTGGCAAGCAAGATGCCTCAAGGCTGGGTTCGAGCAGCTTCCTCTCGATCCTGCCATCATGAAGTCAGTGTTATGGATGAAGAAAGAATTTTACCATGAGGACTTTGTTGCTGATGAAGACAGCGACTGGCTGCTACAAGGGTGGAAAGGGAGAGTACTGTATGCACTGTCCAAATGGAAGGTTAATGGATCATGTGCTGATCAGTAAGATTCAGATAGTTGGTGGTATGCATCATCTGTACCTTGATACTCCAAATATAGATTTTTTTTCCTTTGGTTTTTAACTGGCATATGACGAAACAAAATGGCTGCAATACTTTGTTTCTGTCATTCTTTATCTTCATATGTTCTATAAGCGGATTGTTCTTTATAAGTTCTAAGTGCCTATTTTTCTTTTCTATAAACACATACTTCAGATTCATAGAGAAATAAGTCTAAAAACCACATCAAAGAACCATATTACATTTTTTGTTCAAGAATACGCAAGAAAGCTATGTAGCTTTGTATCAAGAAGTAGAAAATAGAGTTCAGTTTACAAAGGGGTCAAAGACGCACGCACACGCATGCGTCATGGGCATTGAAAGAAACAGAGACACGCTAACTGACCAATTGTACAGCAAACGGAATTATGGAAGCAACCAAAGATTGAACACACGCTAGGCTAGGTAACAAAAGTAACTAACAATGCTCGTCCCCTAGGAGGCCCCCATCCTGACGGCCGAATACCCGCCGCCGGCACAGCAAGCATCGTCAGCCACGCCCGCGGCTCATTCATGGGCTACCGGTCCGTGGCAAGGATGTGGTAGCCGAACCTGACCGCGTGCAGCGTGTGCCAGTCCACCTGCGGCTCGGTCCGCACTCGGGCGCCCGCAAGCGCATCTCTACTCGGGATGCTGCTGGCGCGGGGTCCTACCGTGGGGGCCATCAAGCGGCTCCGACGGGGCACGGCCTGCACCTTCGGTAGATCGTCGGTCACCTCCCCACTTTTCGACAGATCTTCACAGGAAGTGCTTCAACTGTCTCCCTCCACGCACAGGGTGGCAACCGCTGCCTCCATGCTGTCTGTGTTGCCGGGGGTTCTGACACCTCGTGCGCAGCTGCAAGCGGCAGCGGAGGGTGTCTCCTACCAACTCCAGCACACCTGGTGGCACACGTGGATGGCCACAACGGCTTCTCCGAGTCCGTACCTCGAGCACCCAGCCACCCCCACGTCGGTATGGCGGAGTCAGGTGGAGCTCTGGCGACTGTCATTGCGCCTGTCGGCCCAAGGCGTAGGAGGCGCCGGAGATTGCCGGGGGTAGACACTAATGACTCCTCCAGCTACACTGCAGCCGACCGCGGTGAGCCTTACAACGGGACGCGCCTTCCTGGGCTCGACCAGTTGACGCTGGCCACATGGCCTCACAACAGGCCCCATGGTCGCGACGCCACTGACGATCCGATGTTGAAGGAGTTCGTAGCCTCACTCACCGCCAGTTGGTCGCTTGGTCGCCTGGCTTCAACTCCGGCGGCCACCCAGCTGGAGGACCGAGCCAAGGCGATGGTCACCTGTCTCTGCACCTGCGGGCAGCGGACGCTGTCCCAGCATGCTGACTTGGAGCTGCGGACACCACCTCCACGCCCTACTCAAATGGCCAGTGGATTCGCCCCCAGTGTCGCCTCAGCAAGAGCAGACACAGGTCATGCCACCACACAGAACACCCCCTCGGGCGTTGATTCATCCACGGAGGACGGAAAGGGCTACCCGTCAGGCTTCGGTCCAGTCCACCTCATGGCGGATGTTCCCAATACGACGCCGGGGGTTACCCAAATCACGCACAACGACGACTCTGCCAAGCACCGTTTAGAGAACTTCAAGAAAGTGGTGCCTAAGAGGGCCTTCCCGCTGATTCGTGAGCCACAAAAGCAGCCGCCTGCAAAGGCGGTGCTGCAGCTGCGGAGCAATCGTCTAGTGGCTCAAAGCCTCTCTCAGGTGCCTGCTTCCAAGCGAGGTGAGATCCTAATCATGCAGCGTTCGAGTTTGGTCATGGGTCTGTCAATGCCAAGCGCATCGGCGATGAAGGCCTACGATGCGCTCTTCCAGGACGCCGGAAGGAGTCGCGTCGGCAGCAGCGAAAGCACAAGCCCCCTTCTTAGGCTGTGTTGCTGCCCTTATCTTGGTTGTCTACTATTTGTGTAATATCGATATATGTATCAGTATGCTAGTTTGGTCCAACCTGTGACTGTAGTCCTGTAAACCGCCTAGGACGCTCGCTAGAAGCACGTTATCTCTATTTAACTTTTCTACCTTAATACAAAGATGTGCAAACCTTTTACATATTCGAGAACAATGGTACTCCAGGCAAGGGCAGCCAGACGAACAACCTGTGTTGCTGTAGCTTCTCGATGTTTGAAAATGAAGAGAATTCCTCTCCTTCCAAATGCATCAAGCGATCAGAGTGAAAAGTCGATGCCACGACGATGTTCTAGTAAAGAACCATTAGTATCCTCTTAAAAGTACTCGTAACCAGTGTAAAGATGAGGGAACGAGTTGCCCTGTTAGGGGTCTCGGTTACATGTTATATAAGATGGGAATCGCCCCCATCGTGGCATGTACATCAAGCTGAATGCAGTTACAACAGATTGGAGATCATATCTATCCTATCAACTAACTTGAGCTACAAGCTAGGAGATATACAACAGAAAATATCTAGAGTACAAGATCCTTATCATTTTACATCCCCCCGCAATCTCAGCCACTAACACTTGTGAGGTTGAGATTGTTTCTAAACTGCCGAAGCTTAACCACGTGGAGTGATTTTGTGAATCCATCCGCAACTTGATCACCGAGTTGATAAACCTTATGTCTAACAATTTTGTGCTACTCTCTCCCGAACAAAGTGAAAATCGATCTCAATATGCTTGGTTCTTGCATGGAATATGGGATTTGCCGAGAGATATTTAGCACCCAAGTTATCACACCAAAGCCGAGCCATATAAGGATGAGGAACTCGCAATTCAGCCAATAGCTTCTGGATCCATACCATCTCTGCAGTGGGCATTTGCTAATGCCTTGTACTCACTTTCATGCTTGATCTTGACACGGTTGGTTGCTTCTTGGCTGTCCAAGAGATAAGATTATCCCTAGAAACACCGCAAAGCCTCCTGTTGATCTCCTGTCATCATCAACACATCCTCGCCTAATCTGCATCCGAGAATGCACTAACAAGCATAGATTTAGATGGCCCAATCTTCAACCCAAGACGAATTGCCCCCTTTACATACCTCGGGATCCGCTTAATGAGGCTCCAATGAACAGAGGTTGGTGCATGTAGGAATTGACATTCCTTATTCACAAAGAAAGTCGATATTAGGCCTAGTCAATGTTAAATATTGTAAGGCACCAACCAAATTTCTATACCGAGTAGAATCTTCCAAATTTAAGCTTGACACCATCTAAGACACTCAGCTTCTCTGTGCTTGACAAAGGTGTGTCTACAGGTTTACACTTGTTCATTCTAGACCGAGCAAGAACATCCGAGGCATACCTTTCTTGAGAGAGCACAAGACCTCCTTGCTTCCTTTTAACTTCAATGCCCAAGAAATAATGCAGATCACCCAAATCCTTTAGGGCAAATTCTTGTTGCAAATCTCGTAGTAATGCATTGGTTGCATCTTGGGAGGAGCTGGACACGATGATGTCGTCCACATACACCAGAACAAACAAGCTGTGACCCCCTTTGTTGTAGTAGAAAAGAGAAGTGTCGGATTTAGACGGAGTAAAGCCCAATGTCTACAATTTTCCTGAGAGCCGGGCATGCCACGCCCGAGGTGCCTGCTTCAACCCGTAGAGGGCTTTGTCTAGTTTACAAACATAATTAGGACGCTTCTTATCAACATACGCTGGTGGCTGTCTCATGTAAACTTCTTCCTCCAAAACTCCATGAAGGAAGGCATTTTGAACATCTAATTGGCGAAGAGACCAACCTCTTGAATCTGCAACAGATAAGACCAACCTTATAGTCGCTGCCTTGACTACAGGACTAAACGTGTCCTCATAGTCAATACCGTAGCGTTGCTTGAAACCTTTGACAACCAAACACGCCTTGTATCGGTCAATAGACCCACCTGCCCTTTTCTTGATTTTGTAAACCCATTTGCAATCGATGACATTTTTGCCTTGAGACGGTGGAACCAGATGCCATGTATTGTTTCGTTGAAGGGCATGATACTCGGCATCCATAGCTGAAACCCAATTCTTTTCTTGCAATGCTTCACGAACCATGGCTGGCTCACTTGTATCAGTGGTAGAGGTCATACACCATCTGACAGTGTCGTCGGTGTAAATCTTGGGCTTTGTCACCCCAGCTTGAAGCCGTGTGCCATGTACACGCTGAGGCTCCACAGGACTGGACGTAGAAGATGGAGCCGCAGCGGATGTAGCCGAAGCCGCAAGAGATCCGGTCAGAGGATCCATCTCGGGCGGAGCAGCAGACAGGGCGCCCTCGCTTGGATCACCATGCGCCACCGCACCCTGCACACCTGAGAGCAATTCGACGTGAGTCAATGTAGAAGATCCACCGAGAACCAGAGACAGCGCCCCGCCCGCACGAGCACCCGACACCTGCAGCTGTTGGGGCACCTGATCCAAGGCTGATACAGTGGCGTTCGCTGGAGAAGCAACATTGACCCCCGTGCTTCCACCGTCGGGGGAGCACATGAAATATGGGCCGTTGCTATGGCTGTTTGCAGCGCCGCTTTCACCAAAATTTTGCTCGTTTTCCACCGAATTTGATCCTGCACTTGATGAATGGTTAGATGGCATGGTAGAACTCGACACCAAGTCATGTACTGATACGTTCCCAAGAGATGGATTTAGAAGTATATCGGGTAATAGATCAAGCTCAGCTCTCAACCGAGCACCCGCATTTGGATGCATAGAGGCAAAAGGAAACACAGTTTCATCAAAAACAACATCCCGTGAGATATATACTCGTCCTTACGACGGATCTAGACATTTATACCCCTTATGTTTATCACTATAGCCAAGAAAGACACATGGTTTGGATCTAAACTGGAGTTTCTTCTCATTATAGGGACGCAAATTCGGCCAACAAGCACAACCGAATGTACGAAGGAAACTATAATCAGGTTGTTGATCAAACAAAGTAAACAAAAGGTGTGTCATTGTCTATGACTTTGTAGGGCAACCCGATTGATTAGGAAGGT